ATATATATATATATATATATATATATATATATATATATAGACGAAAGCTTCTTTACATTATGAAAAAGATATAGGTTAGGTTATATCGTATATAAAATATACGAAATCTAAAATGAATAAAGAATCATATTTCAAGAATAAAATGGAAGAAGTAGAAGCAAAACATACTCTTCACAGTAGTATTTTTCATCCTGTTTTACGACAATGGCAATCGCCAAATGTAGAAATTACGGTTAATACTCTTATGTATCCCATCTTCATCTCGTAAGTAAAATTATGTTATCATTTAGATATATGTATATGTATAATAAACTTCTTACATGTTTATAATTATTTTAATCAATAAACAAGTTCTAAGAAGATGAAATTTACAAATATTTATTATGTAATATTTGTTATTTGTAGTTTTAGATTATAATAGAATTCTCTTTACAATGTAAAAAATAAACATTAAATATACGAAAATATTTCAAATTGGTGAATTTTGAAGGAATATTATTTTCGAATTAGTATTTATTTTTTTATTATAAAACTATTTTATAATAAAAATAATTCTCTATTATTCTATTATAATATAATATATATATTATAATTATAATTTTATTATAAGATCATAAACAAGAAAAATTTATTATAATATAATAAATATTTACGAATTTTTATCTTTAATAATTATTTGAATATATTGAATAAAATAATTATAAAAAAAATAGTAAAAACTTACAATTTTGTTACTATATATGTATTACTTATGTTTGAAAGTATTTAATATATCTATTTTTAGATTTTATATAAAATAATTTCTTTTTATTTTAAACTAATTAGTAAAATAATTTCTTAAATATTATTTTTTATATATTTGTATATGAATATATAAAAAAAATATAATAATTACAAAAATTTTATAAATCACATTTTTTAAAATTAAAAATTATGAGTTTAATTTGTAAAATTAATTCTTAAATTTTTTTATATAAAAGAAATATTTTTATAGTGATGAACAAGATGCTAAGGAACCAATTTCTAGTATGCCAGGTGTTTATCGATATGGTATTAATCATTTGCGAAAAATGTTACAACCATTGGTTTTAAAAGGATTGCAATCAATATTATTATTTGGAGTATCAAAACATCTAAAAAAGGTAACTCTTATAAGAAAATTTAAAAAATGTAATAAAATTGTAATGTAATAAATAAAAAGTAATATTTTTAATAGGATCATATTGGAAGTAATGCAGATAGTATAAAAAATCCTATTATTAAAGCTGTACCATTAATAAGGGAATGGTTTCCAAATTTATTAATAGCATGTGATGTATGCTTATGTCCTTATACTATTCATGGCCATTGTGGAATTTTAAATGAAGATGAAAGTATAAATAATAAAGCTAGTATTGAACGAATTTCTGAAATTGCTCTTGCATATGCAAAAGCTGGTAAAATTATATCTTTTATATATAAGTAATATATATTTATGATATTAAATATTATATATTTAAAAATATATTTAATAAAGGAGCTCAAATTGTTGCACCATCAGATATGATGGATGGAAGAATAGGTGCAATAAAAAAAAAATTAGCAGCAACTGGATTAATGAATAAAGTTGCAGTTTTATCTTATGCAGTGAAATTTGCATCAGGATTTTATGGACCTTTTAGAGATGCTTCACAATCTGCACCTAAATTTGGAGATAGAAAATGTTATCAATTACCACCAGGAAGTAATGGATTAGCTGCTAGAGCAGCTGTTAGTATTATTGAGTTTTTAAAATTGTTAATTTTCTATTATATTTTTTAATATTTAAAATACATTTTTTCTTTAGGCTAGAGATGTTGCTGAAGGAGCTGATATGCTTATAGTAAAACCAGGATTACCTTACTTGGATGTTGTTAGACATACAAAAGATGCACATCCAGAATATCCGATGTTTGTATATCAAGTTTCAGGAGAATATGCTATGCTTTATCATGGTGCTCAAAATGGTGCAATAAATTTAGAAAATGTTTTAAAAGAAGTTCTTTTATCAATGAGAAGAGCAGGTGCTGATTGTATTATAACATATTTTACACCATTAATATTAGATATGTTGCAACCAAAAAGCAAATATTAGCATCATTAATGTGATTAATATTTGGTGTAGGAAATAAAATATATTTATAAATTTTATTATTTATTATTTCTTGAAATTGATATAAAAAAATTTCATGATTAAAATAAAAATATATCGGAAAATAATGACATTATTAAATTATATAATTAATTAAATCCTATTATATTTCATCATATTGTATCAGATGATTTAACAAAAAATCGAAATAATTGTGTTAAAAGAAAAATAATTTTGATTTTTATATTTTTTAGTCTAAATAATAAAATTATCAAATTAAATAATTATTATTTTCTATTTCTGATGCTTTTGAGAAAAAATTAATAATTTTATGAGCTTTTTATAAAAAATTTAATAAAAAATGATATATATTTTAACAAATAATTAGAAGTAATTAAAAAATATATGAATATTTTCTCAAGATGCGATAATGATAATAAATGGATAAATTTATCTTTACGTATTATGAACCTTTCTCTGCATTAATTCCTCCAATAGTAAGAATATTAGAAATTTCCAGAAGTATGGTATCGTTGTGACGTGGGCCTATCGATAGTAGCCAACTATATGTAGTTCAACCAATGAAAACGTATGTTTCCTTTAGTACGGATACTTTGGGACCAATCAACATAAGCCACGACGAATTCACCTTGTTAATATCCCGGTACTAAGATCTCTGTAGTCAGTCATTCCTAGTTGTTCGTATTATTCGTCGAAGTCGTGCTGAGAGTAACAAAGTTTTTTACTTATAAAA